GCCAGTGGCCAGGCAGGAAGTAGGTGGGACAAAGAGAGAGGAGAATTCTGGGAAGCAGAAGGCTGAGGCGGAGAGACACTGCCAGCCACCGCCATGACCAGCAGCATGTGAAGACGCCAGTAAGCCACCAGCCACGTGGCAAGGTATAGATTTATGGAAATGGATTAATTTAAGATATAAGAACAGTTAGCAAGAAGCTTGCCATGGCCATACAGTTTGTACAATATAAGTCTCTGTGTTTATTTGGTTGGGTCTGAGCGGCTATGGGACTGGCGGGTGACAAAGATTTGTCCTGACTGTGGGCAAGGCAGGAAAACTCTAGCTACAAGTGTCAGTAAATGCTTTGTATGATTCTCTTGCTCTTCAGCAGTGATCTGCTCTAGGGGTCTCTAACCTCAAGTCCTACCCATGTCCGACCCAGCTCCTTCCCTTAGGCTGTAGCAGGCAGCCTGGCTTGGGGTGTTTGTGTCTGTGTTTGTGTTATCTCTTCTTGTCTTTCATCTCCACGCCAGGCAGGACCTGCTGCTTGTAGAGCCCTGGTACTTAATGAAAGCGCATGGCCCTTGCTTACAAAGTAAGCATTTCTAGGCACCAGCACAGCTCTAAACAAAGGCTGCACAGGCCTTGCCCAGGCCCTGCCCAGGCCCTGCTGCCTCCAATGCAATCTGATCTCTCTGTGGTACCAATCTTTTTCCTCCAGTGCACAGAATAACTGGCCCAGAGAAATGCGTTAGTGTAATGTTACCCTCCATCCAGCAACTCTACAAAATACTTTCATACAAATATTTAAATGAGGAGGTGGGCTATGTTGTGTTCATAGTATTTTTCACATGTTTGTTTACCCTTCTTGACTCATTTACTTTTTGTTTCTGGCTTGATAATTGGATTGTGCTGTCTTCAAGTTCACTGATTCTTGTGCTTCCAGTGACCCCTTGTCTTTGGCTATTGCTATGCTGAAAGCAGGGTCTTCATTTGCAGACAAAACTTTTGACAGGATCTCTCCTTTTCTCCTGGGACATGTTCTTCTTGGCCCATTGCTGGACATGGCCATTTCTGAGTCCTCTGCCCAGCTCCCACCGAGCTTCCACAGCACATCTTGCAGGCTGCCTCCAGAAGTTACCTACCATCCTGGAACAGACATTTCAGGTTTCCCAAGTAGATGGCTTTCTGCTTAGAGACGAGAAAAGGACCCTAGTTCCTTGTCTTAAATGTGACATAGAATATCAGTGCTGTTCTTCTTGTGTCTTAGCCTCTGGTAGCAAGTGGTCAAATAGCACTCTGGGACAGTTGTGCTCTTACCCATGGGGACATGTTTCAAGACCCCTGTAGACACTCAAATCATGGATAGGACTCAGTCTAACTAGATTGGGTTTGTTTTCACATATGATCATAAAAAGTTTAGTTTATAAATTAGGTGTACTAAAGGATTAATAATAATGCAAACAATAAAGCAGAATGATTCTAACAAATACTGTATAGAAGCTAGATGTATGTGATTGCTCTCTTTCTCTCAAAGTACAGATCTTTCCATCTAATGATTGTGGTGGTTTGAATAGAAATGGCCCCATAGACTCATGTGTTTGAATGCTTGGCCTGTAGAGCCTGGCACTATTAGGAGGTGTGGCCTTGTTGGAGTAGGTGTGACCTTGTTGGAAGACATGTATCAGTTTGGGGTTGGGCTTTGAGGTGTCATATATGCTCAAGGTACACCCAGTAGTCTTATGCTGGGTAGTCAGTAGTCAGTCTCCTTTTGCTGCTTGTGGATCAAAATGTAGAACTCTCAGCTCCTTCTCTAGCACCACGTCTTCCTTTACACCGCCGTGTCCTGCCATGATGATAATGAACTGAACCTCTGAACTCTAAGCAAGCTACCCTAATTAAACGTTTTCCTTTATAAGGGTTGCCATGGTTATGGTGTCTCTTCACAGCAATATAAACCCTAACTAAGAGAGAAGTTGGTACCAGGGACTGGGGTATTGCTGTGATAGGCCTGATCGTGTTTTGGGGACTTTGGGTTAGGAAAGCAGTGGAATGCTTTAATTGCTGCTTAATGGGCCATACTAGTAGGAGCATGAAAGACAGTGGTGCTAAGGGTTAGTTGAACTGTAGAGGTCTGTCTCAAGAGGTTTCAGAGGAGAAGAATTTTAGTATGTGTCTTAGAGATGGTTCTTGTGATATTTTGGTGAAGAAAGTGGCTGTCTTTGCCCTTGTCTAAAATGTCTGCCTGAGGCTAAAGTGAAGATATTTGGATTAATTTCATTGGCAGAGGAAATCTCAAAACAGCCTAGTATCGACTCTGTTGTATGGATATTAGTGGTCACTCTTATGAAGATCTATAATGAAAATGAGCAAGCTGAGCCAGAAAAAAATGCAAAATGTCCAATTTGAGGAGAAAAGGTGTACCAACAAGCGGAATGGAGCTAAATCCCGTGTTCAAGGAGATGCAGAGATCAAAGGAAAGCCATCAGGTTAAATGGAATGAAGGGAGTGGTGGCCACAGGGTGAGACCCCACCAGCTAAGCTTCCAACTCATGATAAGGAATTAAAAAACAGCTGGGTCTAGGTGGGGTGTGTCTTAATCCCAGTACCCTGGAGACTGAGGCATGCAGATAATAATTTAGTGAGATAATAATTTAGTCTGTAAGCAGTTGACTACATGTAAGTGAGACTACAGAAGTGACACCTTAGACACGGGGCACACTGCACAGAGTGACACCTTACACACGGGGCACACTGCACAGACTGACACCTTACACACGGGGCACACTGC